AACACCAACTCGACTTGATTTGAACTCGACTCGGCTTATCTGACTCGTGAGTTAACTCGACTCGTCCGGAACTCTAGTCATATTTATAATAATAAATATTTATTTATTACAAAATACTTATTTTTAAAACAATATAATAATTCAATTGAATCATACAAATTATGCTTAATTATAATCATAATTTTATTTGTACTTTTTTTTGATCTGAATGATCTAATCTAGGGTTATTATTTATTTATAAGGTTAAAAGGTTAGCCTATGATAAAAGTTTTATCAAGTTAAAAACTCAGATAAAAGTTTAACCAATCAAAACATATAATCTAAAATTATATAAAGCTTATTATAGACTGCAAGTAACTTAGTATACTGTGATATTGCATCTTGCAACAATAAAAATGAAAATATTTTTTTATTATACAAACTCTTTTTCATTATGTGATCTAAGTCACTTAAGTTATATAGTTAGGATAAAGATATATTACCTGATCTATATCATATATTCTGAATAATTTTCTTAGGATTAAGTTATGTATAAGGTATGTTTATAACTAATAAAACCCATATTTTACAAATATATAATATTTTAAAGTTTAATAACAAATTTTTATAGAATTATCTTTTTACCTATATGTAAATTTTTATATTAATGTTAATTGATTGGCAAGTTTTCTAATCATATGGTGCTTAATCAAAAACCTCTAATATAGAGGTTGAAATCTTTGAATTTAAAATCAGATTTATTTAAATTATATCTGAATATAATAGGGATTCACAAATTTTGCTCATAAATTGCCTTTGGTTAGCTTTTGTATATCAATTTCAGTCAAATCGTTAGCGTTAAGATGTTAAATCGTTTATAACATATTCCAATTAAAATTTTAATATATACTGTATATGCTGGAATCTCTTTTTAGAGGAGAGACAGCACATAAGCAATTTAATTCTCACAATTCGTCTTTCTATTATTTGTATACATATACCTTAATCTTTTTCCTTTTTCCCTTGCGATATGATCGCTTTCGCTATTTTAACTTCATGAATTTTCTCCATTATTATCGTTATTTTTCGTAATATTAATTAATTAGCATTATTTATTAGTGTTTATTTGAGTTAATAAAATTGAATTTGCGAAAGTGTAGAGCGCCGATGTTGAGGTAACACTGATTAATTAACTTTTTATTGAACAATATTTATTTAATTACCTATTAAAAAATCCTTCTAATTATTTATAAATACATAAACGAAACTCATTGGATCTTCAGTTGTTTTTTTGTGTGATGATTGATGTTAATTATGAACTTTTTTATTTAAATTATTTGATAACGCTGCTAATATGTATTTGAATTTACATAACAAGTTCTGCGCTTATGAATTATTTGAACTCAAAATTAATGTTTAAATATATCATGTAGTTTTACCATTTATTTTACAATAAATCCGGGTATAATACATGTATATCCGGATTAAAATCGGATTTAATAAATAAATAAATTTGGATATAAAAATAATTCCGGTTCCAACCTCTACTCTGATGCATTTCTTTTATATTTAATATATTTTTGAAAAATTAAAATTTTCGCGAGTTAGCAATATTTTTATGATCAATTAAATGACAAATTAAGTAATAAATAGCTTAAATTGACAAATGAATAATAATTTTAGAAGTTTTTAATTGGTCTATTTAAGCTATGTGCTCAATAATTACTATGTTACTTAAAAATTTAATACAAAGTTTATTGCATACAAATTTCTAGAGAGAAAATTTCTCCTTGTTAAAATTATTAGAGATTTTTAACACTTAATTTCATCCGATTTACTGACCCGATATTTACTTGGGTTAATCCTCCTAAATTTATTATAATTTAAATATTTAATAGCAATTTGATTTATTATAAACCATACTGTTAATCTTACAAAATTACAACTCTCGAAAGAAATGCTGTTAATAAACGTCATATGTTAAACATTAGCATATTTTAATAATTTTAATAATTGTAATTTAAAAGAATAGTAATAATCTGTTACATATAAAATTAACTTGCACGTTGCTAAAGCTCTATAAAAACTTATACGAAAAGATTGAAGAAATTATTTTCATTTCTTTTCATCGATTTTAAGAGATCTTCGAAGAAATGCGAATTCCATGATTATTTTGTCGAGTTTCTAAATTTGAATTAGATAACTAATCATTAGTAATTTTGCAACTTATTAAGAAATGATCATTAAACCTTAACTTACCGAACTCATTGCTTTTATTTCTTCCTTCATTTCCTCTTTGAACTCCTTAATTTCCACCTTCACTTCCTACTTAAATTTCTTAATCTCTTCCTTGCTTTCCTTAATTTCCGCCTTAATTTCTTCTTTAAATATCTTAATTTCCTCCTTGTTTTCCTTAATTTCTCCTCTCACTTCTGCCTTAAATGATGTAGTTTGCGCCATGATCAAACTGTGAATTCCGTAAAATGAGATGGCTGTAAATCCCACTGCAGAAATGACGCTTGGCACAAATGGAATAACCAAGTTTTTCGACACCTTGCTTGCATTGCCTAAGATATTTATTAAAAAAAAAATTTACGATATTTATTATGGAGTGTTTACTGAGAGGAAAATGGGGGTATATAACAATTACACGTTGATAAAATAGACTCGAAAAATAGATAACCCACGTGAATAGTATGTTAGATTATTTTTTTTAAAAAAAGCTGTTTTTGTTATTACGTAATAATATTATTATCGAAATGGGTAATTTTCAATTAGGTTTATTACTTTTAATTACGTACAATACATATGATTTGATATTTTGCAAAATCCACCAATCAAATGCATTCATAGTTATCAGGTTTAGAAAAAACTTTTGCTATTGCAAAGCAAATCAAAATTGTTATTCTTTTGCATATTCTACATTAAGTTTTACAACTCCCAAAATAATACTTGTTTTTAACCAATATTTAAAATATTTGTATCCATTTTGACAATTGAGCACAAGTTCTGCAATAATAAGTTTTTTTTTTTAGCTAAAGTTGATTCTACCTATCCAGAAGAAATTTAACTTTTGCTTCAACATAATTAACGATAAACTATCTTTCCATAGATTTACCATCCTTATTACGTTGCAATATTTTGAACCTGTATTTATTTATTAAATATAAAATATTGGAGCAAGTTTTCACACCATTCTTATAGGATATTGGAGTTGGATTAAAAGAATTTTCATTATTTATGATCATAAGTTCCATTTTTTTAGTTTTTGAGAAATTTCCATGGGGAATTTCGTTATTTATACCTATAAATTAAGCAAAAAGGTAAATTGGATTGTAAAAAAGAAAGCGACTGGTCAAAAAAGTAACACCGATCATCGCAAAGAAAATTTGCCCACCATTTTCTTGATCGAATGAAGGTATATATATAAAAAAAAAAGAATATTTGATTTATTTTGTTATTCAAATCAGAGTTTCGTAATTACTTAAAAAAATGTGTTTCTTTTAATTTTCTTGAAATTTTGACCGAGTTGACAATGAAAAAAATTTTTTAGAATATCACGAGTTACTGTAAATGTAAAGTTTAGGTGGAAGCAACAATCAAAACGTCCCAATTTAAAACCTAAAAATATTTCCAAGAAATATATTATTTATTATATTGTAGTATTCATAATAAATAATTAAACAACAGTCGAAAAATCAGAACAAAAAAAAAAAAAATAATAAATGAAGATTATGACCATTACAAAGAAAATACTTATAATCAATAATTTGTCATGTTTAAAAATATTTTTTCTGGAAATAATGACATCGATAATTTAATCCAGAGATGTCAAGTGAATAAATGACAAATTATTATTTTTAATTTTTAACGCGAAAACATTTATAAGGAATTGGAAAAGCCAACCACATTTATATATGGGTAAAAAGATTATGCCGCTATATTCGGAACACTGATCTGAACGTAGCAATTACCTAGTTTTTACCGAGTTTTTTTTATCAATCTGCAAAAACGATCGTGAACCGATTACACAAAATCGATAAATATAGTAGATTATCATACTTTCTTACTAAAGCAACAACAAACATGCGCTAAACGACTAAATCTGGCGCTTTTCAACTTTAAGATGAATAATTCATTTTCATTTGTATCAAGTCCTTTAAATAGGTAACATATTGAAGAGAAAATTCTAATTGGAGTGAACATTCTAATGATTTTGAATAATTTAAATATTGAAAAAGAAAGTTTAACATCGACAATCAAGAAAAAAATTCCCAAAAGATATTAGGTAGCAATTGTTTTCTAAACTAGAAACAAGCAAGTCATGAGACAACTCACATTTAATAAGACTTACATAGCGTCTCCCGCGAAAATGGTGACGGGTTTATTGCCGGGTCGACCCAGGTTGACTCGGGTCAAACAAAAGCGTGAGCCTGACCCAGCGGGTTTTTTTGAATTAGGACTCGTGTCATAAAATGATAGTTCCGACTCGAGAAAAAATTCGAGTCGGGTCAAGCACTAAATGAATTTTTCAAATAAAGGATCGGAAATATATACACAATCTTAATTTCTTTTATTCGTATTGTTAATACAGTATTCCTGAGGTAAAAAAGACAAAAAAAAAGAGTTACAATGTACATGCTCGAAATATCCGATTTTCAATATTATATAATTCAACATAATAGGTAAAGCCATTGAAAAAAAATATATATATATGTTAATGTAGATTTTATTCGGCGAAAAAAAGTAAAAGATCAGAGCAAGATCGTTGGAGAATTAGTGTACTCCTGCTAAATGTTACTCATAATTTGTTATTTTCGTAAATATCCTATGAAAGTTAATAATTTATATGTATCGTACATTTAAATTCTGCGTTTACATCGTTGAACTTAAAATAAAATCAAAAGGTATAATCTTTGTCAAGGCTAAATTTGAAGTATTGCAAGTGTATATGGTTATAAGGAATTATACAGAGGGTTTCCAAAAGTTAACGCACACTTTTTCATATGAATTTTCACAAATTTATTATGAAACTTAACGATTTACAAATAATAAAAGACTATAATACTACTACTATTAAAGATTAATATTTGGTCAAACAACCGTTGCATGATTTATCACCTTTTATTATTTACGAAATGTGAAAACGACTAATATATATGTTTATTTTTAAAATCCGAGCAAAACTTTATATTAATTTCACAAAAAATAAAAATATTAATATCAGCTTTTTAAATAGTTCTAATTAATGAGTTTGGCTTCTCAATTCAAAACTGAAATAGAATAGATTACATTAAATGGTGGGTATTTATAAAAGTTTTATATTGGCGTAAATTAATCATTCTGGGTATAAAGATCATCGGTGAATTCGCGTAAAATTCAAACCTCCCTATATTTATTAACGGAATATTTCACAAGCATGACTTTGAATCATTATATCATAATGTGTGAAACTCTAACACACGTTCTAAATTATCTGAGACTGTGTCATTTCAAGACAAGATTTAGATGATTAGTAATGGTAAACTAATATTTTTTAGTGTTAAGTCTAAATCATAGAAATTATAATCAAAGTTAAAGGCTTCTCCCAACTAAGAGTTATTTTATTTTTTAACAATGATACGCATTAAAAGATGTTATTGCCTCAATAATTGATTTTTACAAATAAAATAAATTTAAGTCGAAACAATATTCAAAATCATAATACAATTTAAACTCGTGACTTTGAATTCAAACCTATAAGTGATAAAAAATTACTATTCCCTGGTAAAGGACATTTCATTGAAAGCAAATAATGAATTAAAAGCAACGTATATACCAAGTATGAAGCATCCAAATCCTTTACACAGCACAGAAAGAGTTACATAAAATACTGAAACAAGCTCGTTTAATATTTATTTGTAACCATTTGACAAAATAAGCATTTAATAATTTGTTATATTTTTTTCTACCGAAAATGAACTTACGAGATATTGGAGAATTACATCATTGGGAGTTCCCTATTTTTCCGTTCATTAGAAGATTGTTCAATATCAGATATGGATCGATAAACGCCCTTGATTGTTTCCCAACAGCAATCTTCGTTGAAGCTGCACTCGATGATTGCCTTTTCACCAAGCTTGCGCTTCTCTCAATAAAAGAAGGAGCTGAGAAAGCAACATGACTGAAGGCTGAAATGACGAAAATAAGCATGAAAATGTGAAGTTTCATGATAACTTTGGAAGTATTTGAAGGATTAATATATGTGAATTTTGTAAACAGTTTCTTGTAGGAAGTGCAGCTTAGAGACGTGTATTTGTAAGAAATCAGATTAGAGTTACAATTTAAATTATTTGATAGAAAATAACAAATTTCCTAACTTTATATAGTTTTTTTTTTTTTTAAGTATGAAGCTGACTGGGCTTATCCTTAACAAACTAGTATTTGCTTGCTGGAGATTCTCATATAGAGCGTTACAGACTTTACAGCCTCTCAATGCCGAAATAAATACTTACACCACCATTGTAAATCCTCGGTTAGAAAAAATTTAAGCTATTGTACAATGAATATAATTCTGCCCACAGTCGATAATTCTGGTCAACACTTCGTTCATGTAATTTTAGTTAGACTATGGTAGATCAATTCCGGCAAAGTTCGCAAATGTAATTAAGCCAAGAGGCTTTGGTAATGTAACTAAGTAGGAAGATTTGATAACATAACTAAGCCAAGAGGCTTTAGAAACGTAATTAAGCCAAATTGCTTTTGTAACGTGCCTAAGACATATGTTAATAATTCAAATTACCTTTTTATTTCAATAACAAATTATGTATTTCGATATTTAGTATATGATTAAATATTAGAAACTGTCTAATATAATTCCGCCCGAAAGATCACGATTTACGCTTGTGAATTGATTTCGATAATTGCGGCAGTAAAGCCCCGCATAAGCCGTGGCTTGGCTTGCCATGAGCTTAAGTCGAGCCACTTTTATTTCGTCTTGGCTTAGCTCGGCTCGTGAAGATAATCGACAATCCAAGCCAAGCCAAAGCCGGGCTAGTAAGCCGGCTCGTTCGAATTATACATTACTTTTTCGAAACGAAATTCCGTCGAGAGATACTTTTCTATTAAGTGGAGCGCTTCCTGAACGATCCCTTCGAGAGAAACGTTTCTGAAGACTTTTTTATCAAAGAAAATCGCTTTCGGATCGATTTCCTTGAAAGTGGTCGTCTCTGTGGCTTTTCCTTTGATGGAATCACTTCCGGAGGCGTTACCTTTGAAGGAAATCACTTCCGGTGGCGTTTCTTTGAAGGAAAATGCCTCCGAGGCGATTTTTCCGAAGATAAACGCTTCCGGAGGCGTTTCTCTTGAAGGGAATCGCCTCCGAGGCGTTTTTTTCAAAGAAAAAATTTCCGGAGCCGTTTCCCTTGAAGGGAAATGCCTCCTAGGGTTTTTTACAAAGAAAACCGTTTCCGGAGGCGTTACTCTTGAAGGGAATCGCCTTTTCAAAGAAGGTGATTTGAAGGAAATAGTTTCTGTGATTTATCTCTTAAACGGAATCGCCTCAGTGGTTATTTTTAAGGAAAACATAAAAATTTTTTTTTACCAGAGTTGAATAGATAAAAAGGCATGTGGTTTATCAAAATGGTGTGATCAGGTGATTTGTCGATCAATTATAATAAAAAAAGGATTTTCGGATTACCCTAAAGTAAACTTTAAAAAAACTTTCTTAAAGAAACTATTTTTTCACAACTTTTTAACTTTTATTAACCTTCATAACATAGCGATAGAGTATTTGAGCCTTGTGTATTAGTGAGGTTTAATATGTAGAAGTTTCTTTTAGCTTATAAAACGATTCCTAGCTTCCTAGATTAAATTAAATCTATGATGATCTTTTAATAATTCAAATCTTCATTCAAAAGTCGATGATAAATCCCCAAATTCATCAATTAATTCCTAAATTAGAGTAGCAATGAAATCATTTTTTTAAAAGTTATTGATTTTTAAAGGATTGAAAAAGAAAATCAAAAGTAGAAATGTTTATTTATTATTATTAGTATTTAAAAAAGCATTACACATATATTTATACAATATTTAATTTTAACAATAAAAGTATTACAAAAAAGATGATTTAATGAATCTAACTTGCTTCGCTTTCCCACCTTAATGTTCATTTAAAATGATTCTCTTCACCATTTGTTAATTTACTTAATAAATTATTTTTTTCTTCTATGCTTAACGTTTCAAATAATTTTTCAAAACCCTGGAGAACTGCTTTCGAATTAGTCTCACTCATATCTAAAACATTTTGCGCTATGCTTTCATTTCTAACTTGTTCAATTCTTTCATTAATCGTTATTTTTGGTATTACGGTAATATCATCATCATCATCATTCGAATCAACATCACTATCATCATCCAAGGTTTTTTCAATCCATTTCACAATTTCTTCATCTGATTCTTCCCAATCAAATTCATAATTGTCATCTTCAATATTATTGTCCTTTTTATACCAATTTATTAAGTATTGTTTCATCTCGTTTCTAGTCAATTTATCATTTGCCTTAATCAAATCTCTAAATATGTACTCTTCATGTAACCTCCTTCGCACTCGCCAATAAAAGAATCTCCTAGATTCCTTCCATTCTAACGATTTTCTTATCGTTTCTTTGGATTTCATTCTTCCTGGTGTATCATGTAAATCTGCAAATTGAAGAGCTACTCGTGAATATATCGGTAACAATTCTTGTTCTTTTGCGTCCAACTGTAATTTAATTTCTCGTTTTTGTAATTCAGTTCTTGTCGGATCATTTAATGATTTCTTAAGGCTACGGTAAGTTTCATCTAACCTTTCTATTGTTGCGAGCAATTGTGGCTTTCTGAATTTAATTTCTACAATTCCTTCGGGTTCAAGTACACCAGCTCTTGATTTTGTATCGGCGTACATTTCCATCATATCTTCGTTAATGGTAGGATCTATTACAACCCAAGCACCACCACGTAGTTCTCCATTAGGAACAATATAAACAAATACAGGCTGCTTGTAATTAGTAAGTGCGTCCACGATATAAGATCCATATTTTAAAATCTCTTGAAACATATCCCTTTGACCTCCTGAAAATCCTCGCCAATTAGCAAAAATCATCAAGGGCAATTGTTCACCTTTGTTAAAGTCATTAATAGCTTGAGCAGTCTTATAAGCTGAATTAGGGTACCAAACTTGTCCGGCTTCCATCATCAACTGCTGATGAGAATTCGCATTAGCCGGATCAGCTGGAACTATGCTTTCGACGGTACGAGTTTCAACCGCTATAACACCCATTGGAATTCCACCAAGACGTGCTCGTCCAACAACAACGGTCCTCGCCCATCCACTTAATGTTTCAACAAAGGATCCTTTATCAAAAAATCCACTAACCCAACTGTTGGGATCTCTTTCAATCTCATATTTGCCCGCAATTAACCATCTTGGATCGTATGGCCCTTTGGGGGGCATATAATTAACATCCCTGTCCCAAGTATCTGAATTCATAAATATTGGTACAGGAGAATTTCGAACGGCTGGAACATAAGAAAGCCATTGCATTATCTTTGTAATGCCTTCCAAATCATTTTGTGCAGTCAGATGTGAAACACCATTCTTGAACATAATTTGTGTGCCTCCGAGTTGTAGATTCCCCGTATAAACTTCTCTTCCCAACACCTTATTCAATGCTGGTGCTCCGGTTAATATTATGGGTTGACCCTCATTTTGAATAGTACGCTGTCCCAATCTTACTAAGTAAGCTCCGATACCTTAAAAAAAAAAAATAATTAACATGGTAAATTAAAAAAAAAAAGAAAAAATTTTTTTTGACATGTCAGTGAAATACATACCGACTGAACGACAAGTAACTAACGTTATTGTGAAAATGTCCTCGTATGCACGCGATGTTATCCCAGCGATTAATCCCGAACCCTTCAAACATTCAACGCCAAGCCCATCTTTTGATCCAATAATATCGGTGATTTTATGTCGTGTCTCTCCTTCCTCAACTATTTCTTCTGCGATAACGGATTTCCTTCCATTTTGTTGCAATTGCTTATAAGTCTCTGAATCGAGATAAAGATATTTGATACCTTTGCTTGGATTTCCTTTATCGACCCATGCAACGTTAAAATGATTCATAACTTCTTCCGCCAATCCAATCCTTGCACCAGAATTTGCTGACAAGTATACTCTCGGTATTCCCAATTTCCTTGCCAATTCGGTTGCTTTGTAGAAAAATTGATCTTCTATAGGTCCAAAAGAACCAATTTGATATGTGATATCATTTGCAATCACGACAATTTTTCTACCTTTGGGATATTCGGGGGTAAAAAGCGTAAAGATCCATGCAACCATGCCAAATGAATTCGTTCCCGGAGCTCTATCCACTTCTTGTAAATTATTCATCTCGTCAAGCACAAGTTCTTTGGCTTCCAAAACATCGCTAGGACATTTAAGATTTGGACTATGATGAGATGCACGATTCCATAGTATTCTAATAGCTTGACGAAATAATTCGGGAAAATCGTAAGCGTAGGTGGTACCCATTAAATGAGCCTTATAACGCCTTGGTTGAAGCCATTCTTTCGTTGGATAAGGTGTGTTGGTTGGTTGCAAGTGCATTGAACCCTGTTGACCAATTGATTTAAGAATCCAACTTTCACGTTCCGTTTTCACCTCCTGATAAGTTTCTACTTTAACCACATACCCGGAGACATTATTAATGATAACACGTAAAGGATAACTTGTTCCTAATGTAGGGTCTTCAACTTTGAAACGAACTTCGGCTCCGGTAACACGCAACCTCCACAATCTTTTGCCGTGCCTATCAATAAATCCCTTAACGGCTTCCTCAACTTGTTTTGGTTCCAACACAAATGTTGGGATGAAATTTATGAATAAATGGTTGCAATCGGAGTTCTTATGTTCTGAACTAACGATCTCAAGGGAATCCAAAATCTCATTCAATAATCTGTCGGACTCGGAGATTAGATAATCTGCCGTACGCACGCTATTTCGCAACCGACCAGGACGAACCAAGGATCGAATGAAGAATCTACAATCTGAAGTATTTTCTTTACCAACGGCGTAATAAACGTGAATCTGTCGATTATCAGTAAAGCAAGGTGTAATATCGAAATTGGATAACCTCGTAAGCTCAAGCTGATAAGCCATGGCTGGTTCGATGTGACGAATTGTTTGGTCCTCGGTATAATCAGCTCCTTCACGGAACGTGAAATACCCAGGATATTGACCTTTTCGAAATAGGACAATAGTAATACGTCGTATCCCATGTTCACGTAATTCATAAGAATGTCGTTGTATAAGGGGTTTGAGTTGTTTTTTCAAAGCTTCATCCTCTATAGCATCATCTTCCAGCCTTAAAGCGATGTTCAAAACATTATTTATATTGTTCCTATCTGATGGATCCTGAGATTGCCATCCTTGAACGGTTTGTACTTTTGGAAAAAGTTTCAAAATTCGCGGTATATTTCTTTCTATTTCTTCATTCAAAGTGCAGGAAATCATGGCGCCAACACGAAGCGGTTCATTCTCGGTTTTCGGAATCAAATAACTTAAATCTGATATTGAACCTGAACGTCTCATGCTAAAAAATGAAGGACTTTCGACCGAAGCAGATGGATTATCAGTCATAGCAGTATGAAGCAAGAAGTTCCAAGAGACCATAAATGGGGCCTGATCTGTGTGATATTCAACATTTATAAGTTGATAGGCACGATAAGCGCGTCGGGCGTAAACTTCTAATGCGGCAAGTCCAACCCAACTGTCTTGATGATAAAAGAAATTCGGAAGAACATCGAAAACTGCAAATCGCGTGTCAATTAATTCTTTGAGAGAATCATAACTTGGGGTTCGATAATCATAACCATCATCTCCGTAATGACTCTCTATAACTGCGGCCTTCAATATTTGTTCCATCTGAGCGTACCTTTCTTCATAAGAAGGTAAATGACAATGAATCAACAATTCACGCGCTTTCAATGCAACTTTAGTTGTGAAACGTCCTCCAAGCTCCGCCAATTTTTTCAAAATCGGTGAATAGAACCTGTCAAGGGCTTGTCCAACATTTGCGGGCCTGATCTGATCTAAAAGGTGTAAGATCAGATTATTCTTTGCCTCAACTTTGGAATGTGACAAAACAATATCAACGACCTTGTCAAGATCATTCTTGTATTTGTCACGTAAAGCATGGACAGCTTCTTCTTCACGTTTGTCCGAATTCGAGAACAAAACTTCAACGTCATGATACTTGTTTAACAAATAAGTGATATCATTCCACTTTAGGTATTTCAGACCATAAATATATCGCTCAAGAATGTCATTCACGGGAGTGATCACAGAATTAAAACTTGAAAGGTCTGAAGGATTTACAAAATCGAGAGAATAATTATCAATCATTTCTTTTAATCGTTTTGCAGGAAACTCTAATCTTTGACTTTGGGTCTCGTTAGAGACTCTCATTAAAGCCGTTTCAAGCTTGGCTGGGATCCTTCCGGAGAGCGCTGAAAGTACTGCATGAGATTCTAAATAAGGAAGATCAGGATTTTCTAAAAGTTCAATTAATTCTTTGACGCTACTCTGTAACATTGCTTGATTATCATAACCATCCAATATACATTCAAGGATATACTTGACCTCACAATATCTCTGATGAGCTTTGTCGCCGACTATAACGGGCGGATTCATTGCAGGAAGCTGTCCCTCAAAAGGTAACGCGTGACGAACTCGACTTGGGTCATCAAGGGTGAGGATACCAATAATGTCACCGGCTTCAAGTGTCGAGTTTTGTTGCTTTATAAATTGAACGATACCATCTTCTGTTGCGATAAGCGGCATATACATTTTCATCACCTAAATAATGATCAAATGTTTAATAAAATTAGATGATAATGATATGGGAGAATTTTATGATTCGATAAAAATTGTTAAAAACTCACTTCGATTTCAGCGTAAGCATCACCTCTTTTTACGTGATCACCAGAATCCACCAAAAATCTCACAAGCTTTCCAGGAGAGAGTGAACGAAGTTGTGTTGGATCATTTTCTTGTTCAAGTAAACAAGTTTTACTATCAATCATCATCCTCATTCCTTGAACTTCTTCGCGGAAATAACAAGTATGGCTCTTCCCGTCTAACAAAACTAATAACCCACCATCGGTAAGAGCACGTACAGAAACTTGGACCCTTGATCCATTCAAATATAGCGTGAAAGAATCTGGAGCTGATCTGGTAGCGGTAAATTTATAATGGACCCCTTCATAAATAAAATCGATGATGAAGACGGTGCGCAAGACATTCTTGCAAGGGATTTGTCCTTTCTCCAAGAAACTTTTATATTCCAAAATGGATTCCATGGCTGCGGTATAAGCCTTGGTAACCGCACCGCATATCACGGCCAACATTTTATCGGGTTTTTCGGCCGTTAGATTTTCATCAGATATTAACATGTCCAACCATCCCGTTGTAAAACTGTTTTCTTCGAACGCTTGGGTTTCAAGCAATTTAATTAAATATTCCACTGTGGTTCTAAAGTCCCCACGAATCGACAATTCCTTAAGCGCGACAATCATATTCTTTCGAGATTGTTGACGATTCTCACCATAAGCGAAAATATGACCAAATTGAGAATCAGCAAATTCATGAAGGCCACCGGCAGAATTAACCGAGAAATATCCCCAAACGTTAGTGCTACTACGAAAATTAAGTTCGTGCACCATACCACTACTTGGCTTAAATCCTGCGTCAGGATTTTCCGCCGTTATGCGAACGGCTATTACGTGACCTTTTGGAGCAGGTCTCCTTTGAGTTTGAAGAGACTCGGGATCCGAAAAATCAAAATCGATCTCGGAAGTTCCACTTGGCGCCAACCCATAAAGTACTCTAATATCACGAATTTGATGAAGTGGAATTCCCATAGCGATTTGTAATTGAGCAGCGGGTAAATTCACACCTGAAACCATTTCGGTCGTAGGATGTTCAACCTGTAATCTTGGATTTAATTCAAGAAAACAAAAAAAATCATTCTCATGACTGTAAAGATATTCTACGGTTCCCGCACTAACATAACCAACTAATTTAGCCAATCTAACAGCAGCCCTTTCCATCGCCTCAAATGTCTCTTGTTTTGCAATCGTAACGGGAGCCTCTTCAATGATCTTTTGATGACGTCTTTGAACAGAACAATCTCTTCCAAACAAGGAGATCGCATTACCGTATTGATCCGCTAATACTTGAACTTCGAGATGACGAGCATCTCGAGCAAGTCGCATGATGAAAATCGGTGAACCGGGAACTTCACCTTGAACTTGAGCAAATGCTTGCTTAAAATTATCTGGATTTTCCACCTTTCTAATTCCTTTCCCCCCTCCACCTTCTGAAGCTTTGATCATAATAGGAAATCCAATGATGTTTGCTTCATTTAACGCATCATCCACATCCTTGACGCACGCCTTCTCGTACACATTTTCGGAAACAATAACATGACCATGTTCATCAAATTCAGTTTGGGTGACGCCATTACCACTCCAATCCATCGTGGGTACATTTGCAGATTGGGCAACGATCGTAGATGATATTTTATCACCTAACGAACGCATCGCTGAACCAGGAGGACCGATGAAAACGATCTTATTTTTACTCCGCGCTAATGATTCAGGCAATTTAGGGTTCTCGGATGCATGTCCCCTAACGACGAGAAAGATAAAATCATATTTCAATTAATTTAAAAAGAAATCAAACATAACACGTGGGGGTTTATAAGAATGCTTACCAACCAGCCCAAACAGCATGAACACCCGTACGCTCGGCGATATCAACGATTAATGAAACATTAGCATAATTATTATTATTGGAACCACCAGGTACTTCGATATATTGATCAGCCATACGAATATATTCAGCATTAATCTTTAAATCTTCGGGAGTAGCCATCACAGTAAACTGTATGGCCCTTTCATCACCAAATGTTTCATAAGCCCATTTTCTAATAGATCTAATCTCTTTGACAGCCGCTATACCATTATTCGCTATTAAAATTTTTGTGATTACAGTGTGACCATTATTTTTTTCTACAAATTCTCTCACGAGACTTCTTGGAGCATTTTTTAAATCATTCCCTCCTGAAAATAACATCGTAACATAAAAATAAAAATAAAATAAGATAAAATGAGTGAAAATAAATGATGGAGAAGAAAAGAAAAATTAAAAAGATGATGGGTCAGTTACGTAGTAAGTAACCGAAAAATCGATTCGAATAACTCTTGATGAACATTTGTTTAATTCAAATTATAAAACAATTTAGATCATAATCGCAATTCGAATTTAAAGAATCGATGCAATCCAAGATAAAATAACTTACCAATAAATTGTGTAATATCTTGATTCATGATATAAAATGTAAACGAAGTTGGAAAAGAAAAAAAAATTTTTAATTTTTTTTTTTTTTTTTAACAATGTAAAAAAAAAGTGATTTTCTTTATGTCGTTTTATAACTTTTTATTAAATTAAATCGATCGATTTGTGTAAAAAAGGGTATTATCATTATCATTAGTATCTAAGTAAAATGGTGTTATAAAAAGGGTAAGTTATCTTCGACTTATTTATTGAATTTAGGCACATGTTAAGATCCAAAATCATTTTAAGAAAAAAAAAAAGGAAAAAAAAATATTTTTAAATACATTTGAAAAAACTTGAAGTAGTTTTAAATTTTGAATTTCCAATTATAGGTGATACACCCCAAAATTTGGCAGTTATTTTTTTTTTTTTTTGTTGTTGATATTTGTAAATCTCTTGTATATAAAATTAAATCATACATTTCATGTGGAAAACATGAAATGCAATTGAATTGAAACGAAATGTCGCACAAATTTATCGATAACTATGTGATGGATTACATAATGGTTGTCTGCATGTGAAATGAAAAAAATAGTGTCCTGCCCAAGTTAGATTATTCATCATCAACTTGCTTTCATTATTCCGCATTTACCCCAAGTCCCCAAAAAATGCCAAGCCACCGTTAAAAAATGAATTTGAAACTTCTTATTCTATTCTATGTCGATCAAGTTGACAAATTTGAAACTTCAAATGAACTAAAAAAAGTTCAACCTATTGATAAAGAATTTACTAGAACGCTGCAAAATGTCCACGTTTGTTACACGAGCGCGAATATCATTGACTTATTGTGGCATTGTCTGGGGAAAACGTGAATGATTTGTCATTCCAATACTTACCTTTGAAAGTGTAGGCGTTAAATTGACAACAAACAATAAATAGCTGATCCAATTTTCTTTTCAAGAAAAATTCCCATCTCGTAGGCTGTGCAAGGGTCCTTCAGCTGCGCCACTCGTTCGGGCCTTCCGATGAACTGTCTCATCTGTGTTTGCTAGCATTTGTCACACCTTCTACAAAAATCTTTGCGCGCAAATCAAATTCTTAAAAATAATAATAATAATCGATATCTCATTTGACGAAAATGTATACAGAAATATCGATCTTCTTTCTATGAAAATGGATCGAATTTTGCGTCATATAGCTAAAAAAAAATCATTCGAAAATGTTATATAAATTCGGAAATGGCATGCCCTAATGAATTGATTTGATTGAATCCCCTGCAAATGATGGTACGTAAATATAAAGTTTGATTTCATTATGTTTTGCTGTTGAACTTTTTAAAGCTACGAAGAATTAACTCGCAAATGGAAAAGTCTAATCTTGATTGCGAGATATAAATAAGATATCAATTCTGGGATTTACCGATTATATGTAAAAGCTTTAATTTAAGTTTCTTTTTCTCCCTAATATATATTTAACTTTTTACATACGGAAAATACAATAAAAATTATAAATAGATAAATGTTATAAATGTTATAAAGTATTCCAAACCAAAAAAAAATAAGTATTTGGTGAGAACTTTATTACAATTTAAAATGAAAAAAAAGTCCCTAATCCAGTTAAAGCGAACCATTTTACCATTTTAAATAAATTGGATATTCAAGAATTTAATTAATGTAATTTAGAAGATATACAAGGAGCAATTTTAAGGGGTTATAAATAATTAGGATGATGGAAAGTTGAAAATCAAATGTGAAAAACTATTGGTTAAATAAGAGAGCAGCAGATAAGACATTAAGATAAGCATTAAAAATTTATAAAATGCGACTTATTTAATTCGTTTATCATCATTTAATCAGTTCTTTGTAATTTTTTTTTTTTTTTTTTTTTTTTTTTTTTTTTTTTATCATCAACCACGAAGGATATAAAATATTAAACAGTTTAGCGCTTAAGCTGAGTATTTTCTGTCAATAACTTACCGGATACCGTGTCCGCAAATATCTTTTACCCACACCGAAGCATTGAGCTACTATATATTCTGTTATAAATGCTAGGATAAAGGTACGTTAACTACTAATATTTAGTGAGTTTCGTCCAAAATCAGTTTTTCGAACGATCCGGAATATTAATTTTTGTATAAATACTTTTTTTTTTTAAAAAAAAAAAAAAAAAAAAAAAAAAAAAACCTTATAATAGCATTTTGATTTTTCAAGTCGAATTCTTTTATAATTGATTCGTCAATTTTTAATTTTTTGATAAAAGAAGCGATATCTTAATTCTTGAAGATTTTTTTTTTTATTTTATACTTATCTATTAAATTTCTTTAAACCAAAAAATAATTTACATTTATTTTGATTATGTTAGGGGGTTGGAAATGTACTGATTTACAATTGCTTAGATACATAGATTATTGAGAGGGTATATTACTTAAACCATCAATTAAATCATGAATTTGATCAATGCAAGGTAACAATTTATTACCCTTGATCATAATTCTTTGAATAAATCTAGAATCATTATCAATAACATCTTCTTCAATGTTAAACCAATTATTTACAATAAATCTTTCCCTAAATTTTTTGATTAGATTAAAATTAAAAAACTTGTAAGCTAGATGAAAAATTATACAAATTCTATAACATTCTTGTTGTTTAAATATTTCTTCCTTATCCTGTTTAGCTTTTAATGCTGTGATGAAATGATACTCAAATGATTCCAATTGATAATTATATGTGATGGTATCATTAGTATTTTCGGATGATGAACTTGCATTAGCTAAAATTTCTTCTATTTCCGCATCACTTGGACCTTTGAGAATCCGGTAATAAAACTAAAATGAAAAAAAATTACATATATTATTCATCTTTCTGACTTTCATTTTAAACGAATTTTTACTTTTTTTAATTTTCATTTTTAATTTTTTTTTTTTTTTTTAAAAAAACATCGATTTACCTTAATTCTCGTTAACATATACGTTAATTTTTCTAACACTATTACGATAATAAGTTCATACCAAACTTTACAAACTTCACGATACTTGAAGAGTTCCGCAAAACTGTTAAAAACAAGAATTCACGATAATTTAACACATGAAATTTTAATAAAAAAAAAAAAAAAAAAAAAAAAAAAAAAAAAGATAAAATCATTCATACATTACCCAAAATTAACAATAAAATGTTTAAAGACTTCGAGCCACAATTCTCTTGGAAGTTCTTTTACCATAATTAAGAAATTTCTAGGAAAAAAAGCAAAGAATAAACCGGAATAAACGCTGTTTGCAAAAATTATATTCGATGTTTTATGGCGTAATTTATGTATGATCACATGTTGAGTAAATAGATACGCGCATTTATTACAATGGAATCATATTGTGACGATTTATTTATTGGTTATAACTAGTTCTGGATAGATCATCGCTTCCTTTTTAATGAAGTCAAATCCTATTGTTTAGTCTTATCAAGCAAATCAGTTCACAAAACCATGTCAATAAATGAGAGCTCCCACGAATTGATTCCAAAGATCACACGTCTTGTGAACGAGTAAATGAATAAACTCAAGAAAATGGTCTTAACATACGGAACGTTTACCATAAAACAGGTTTTTATTTTTTCCACATTATGTAATAACAATCAAGTTATATTTTAAATAGCAAATCTTTTTCCTTCAGTGAATTCTTTATGAAGATTAGTATGTGACTTTTTCATATGGTCGAATTTTCAAAAACGAGTGTTATTTAAATAACAAAAAATATTTTAAGAGTTTATTCTAAGCAGTGTAATCAGGATCAGAAACATCATATGCAATATCATAAAATTAGTTAAAGTTTTCTTGTCAATAATTAGTGTACGTTTTACTTGTTAAAAGGTCTTTTAACGAGTTATTTGTACAAGAATCAATCGCATCATCACTAAATTGGGCACGCACGAAACATTCGCGTTTGTGCAGCCCAAGGTGATTATATCATATACGTGTATTGTTACACCATTTTTATATCGATAAGCAAACATTTTTTTTTCGTCCGTTTAACACAGCTTTGATTATTCAACACAATTTCTTCAGTTGCTATGATTTACTGTGGTTCTTACACATATCGTGTCACAAAACTAAAACTTTGCTTGAAAATATTGTTCAAAATTATATGTAATTTTTATAAATTTTTATTTGTTTATAATTCTATTTTATTTAATCATTAATTAAACGATTGCCGCAATTATATTATTGTATTGTAGTTGCATCATATGTTTTGTCAATTTATTTTATTAAGTGTTGAGTCGTTCGTTTGGTTTGTTGTTTAGAAAACGATAATCATACCCCAAATCCGACACACATATTCATCGAACAAAAAGTCAGTTTCCTGGTACACAACATACATCCAGTAACGGGTTCGGAATTATGATCTACGAAAGAACGTTATTGACGTCAGATCACAAAATGAATTTTACAATATTTGCTGTTGGCACAATTTTCGTAATAAATCCATAGGATCGTTGAAATAGCACCACACACATCAAATGGGTCACATTCGTTGGAAATTTGGGATTTTTGGCATATAAAGTAAAATTGATTTTTCTGGCAGTTTCCCCCAAGGTCCCATATGTCTAAAAAGTAGTTATTGCAAAATAAGTTCAACAAGAGATTATCATAATGAATGCGACAAACTATTAATTCAGGACATTATAAATTCATCTTATGTTCTCCTGCGAACTTATATATGCTTACCATCTTTTATCCAACTTGCAATTATTGTTATGTTAGACCGAAATTAGAATGGTTAGCTTTATCACATTTGGACATAATAATCG